AAAGAGCATTATATACAAGAGCAGTTGAATATTGAGAAACTATCTCAGCTCAGTCCAGATCAAGTCCATAAGTCCAATATTAGCCCATATATATGATACCTATCTTTAAAGTCCTCTTAAGACTCACGAAACACATGCAATGACGCTGAATGCAGGAAGATCACAGTCCAGTGGGTGGGAAGTCTTGTGGATCCAGTGGCATTGTAAGCATCTCAGCTCTGGCTCTCTACATGGCTTCTCCAGCTCCCAGGGCACAGGGTCTATCAGCTTAGCGCCATGTGCCTTGTCATTAGAGCATCTCTCAGGGAGTGAGTCAAAAAGAGCGTGTCTCCCACCTCCAAGGAGGAAAATACTGGAGTTCCCAGAATCCTCGGGAGAAGGCCATGCCCACACAGAGGCCTCATTGACTAAATCTCGATTAACAGCCTAGACTCCACCTCTTCACTCTAAATCCTCAAATTGACACCAGCTGATGTAACTACCACAGGCAGTGAGGGAGTCTGGCTTTGTAAGGTAGGGACAGGGGGTTGTCCCTCTCATGCTTGTAAAGGGCACCATAGAGGAGGTTGGGAAGAAATTAGGTGGCCATTAGATGCCTTTGATGACCCCCAAACTGAGCATGCTCCAATTGAAGCCCTCAGCCAGATGGGAGGTACACCTGGGTGGTCCAAACTAGGCCCAGGTTTGTGACATCAACCAGGTGGGCTTGACCCAGCCAATGGGGTCCACCAATACCTTCAACCACACTTCACCCAGCCAGGGGTGGGGCCAGGATAAAGGTAAGGAGCATGGTGTGACTCGCTCTCTGGTGCCCCTCGATCTTTCTGGCCCCAGTCCTCTTGCCCTTTCTCTCTCGACCCCTTGGTCCCTGGGCTCCCTTCCCCAGTTCTAAATGCTTGAGTGAGCTGTTTCTCAAGGTTGCTCATGCCCAGTTGTGAGCTGTTTCTCAAGGTTGCTCATGCCCAGCGCTGCTTCCTCGAGGCTCGGCACACTTCCCTGAAAGAACTTGTCTTCTTTTGAGACTGTAAAACCTGAACCTTCTCCGGACCTTCATAAAAGCCCACTTGGATTACCAAACACATGCATTCTTTCATCGCGGGAAGCCAAGAACCTCCCACGAGGAAAGAATGCACGTGCTTGGTGCATTTCCCACTCTAGAGACCGTACGGCTTCTTGCAGAATTAACCCCAAAAGGTTGCCCTTATTTTGGGAAGGGGCTTCTAGCTTTCTCTAGGCTGGGCCAGCTCTCCACTAGGCTTGACCCCAAGCGTGCTTCCTTTCAAACAATGAAAAGGGAAAGAACCACTCCCAATACCAAGCCCGGGTCACCCTGGGAGGCAAGTCCCGGAGGAGGAGGCTGGTGAAGGAAAGCCCTTCCGCAGATTCTACTGTGGAGTCACTTGTGGGTTTTCAGGACTGTGGAGCACCCGGGGAAACTAAGCCGGCTTTCATATCTCATGTGGACAGGAGAATGGACGGGTGGCTTCCCGTCCGGTCCGGAAATTTAGCAGCAATATCTACATACACAAAACATTATCCCGCAGGAGAATGGATGGGTGGCTTCTTATCCGGTCTGGAAATTTAGCAGCAATATCTACATACACAAAACATTATCCCGTCATATGCCCATTATCCATGCCTATTACCATGTACAACCCTGTAGGTGGTAAGGTGGGGCATTTGACAGATGCCTGGTTCAAGTGAGCTTAAGTGATTCGATTCTAATTACAGAGCTCTTTAGAAGGTCCTTGCAAACCTGCAGCCAGGACACCTCCTTGCAAGGGGTGTTCAAAGAGTGGTCCCTTAACTAGCAGCATTGGCCTCCTCTGGGAGTTAGTTAAAGATGCAAATCCTTAAACATCCGCCTCTCCATCCCCCTCCCTCTCTGCTGAATCCTGAATGAGGGATCTGGTGCTGAGCCCCAAATCCTCCACGGGATTCTTATGTCCACTCAAGGTTGGCAGTCAGCGCCCTTCCTGGTAGTGTTTTCTTCTGCTTCGAACTTCTCACACTGCCTTGCAGCCAAACGCCTAACCACTGTGCCACCAAGGCTGCTGCTTTATCTGTGATGGTTGTTTGCAGGTCCTTGGACCCCTCAGAATGGCTAGACAGTATATCTTTAGGAGAAATGCTTGCGGGGAAGCAAGCCATCAGCATGTTCAGCTCCTCGTCAGAAAGTTGTTGGAGGTTGGAGCCCACCCGGTGGGGGGTGTCTCCTCAGGATGGGTGGTGTACTTCTGAAAGAGTAGCCATTGAAAACCCTGTGGGTTGCTATGAGTCAGACTCAACTCGATGATTTTATATATTTAAGAAGTCTAGTCATTTAAAGCGGGGCTACTCTGCCTCCTGGGAACGTTCTCTCCTTGCAAACTTCACGAGATGGCCCTTGACTAGAGCCGATGCTTTCTCCTTTCATCTGTCTTGGGACGTTCTCTCCCCAGCTACTTTTTCAATCTTTAAAGATGGTGTGGTGCCCATTTGGCCCATTAAGCGTCTTTGAAATAAAGTTCTGTTCTACCCGATACCCTCAGCATGTTGCTATACTGGTATATACATGAATGAAATGGAACATGTACCCACATCCCCCACACATACACACACACACATGTCTAACACCAGACCTGCCTTTCCTTAGAATCAGAGGAAAAGAAAGCAATGCCATGAAGCCCTGTGGCTTGAAGGACACGTTACCTGAAGTCTCCTTACACAAAAGATATCAAAAGAGTGATAATATCATTATGTTTCAGTGAGAAAGAGGTATTTGATTATAATACAAAAAACACTTAGATTTTATTGTGTATCTGAGGGTAAGCCAACAAGTGTTAGACAGACACGTGGACACTGTTATTAAATGAAAAATCAAAATAGGAAGCTATTGTTTCCCACCGCGGCCTTCATCTAGTTCTATAAGATTCTGAAGGTGATGTTTCCACCTCTCTAGCCCTTCACCCAAAGAATTCTGAGCTCTTCGATTTACACCAGATCAAAATGACAGTTCAGCATTTTAGAGGGCCTCAAAGCATATTCCTTTGAAAGTTCTTTGAGTTTGGGGAATGAAAATAATTTCGAAGGGGCAAAACCAAGGCTGTGGAATGGAGGAGGTAGGGTTCCCCAGTGACATAAGACCATTTCTGCTACCCTTGAAGAATGAACAGGTGTATTTCAGGGATGAAAAATTTGTTTTTCTCAGTGTAAATGTCCTGGACTTTTCCTAACACTACTGTTTTCAACTTTATTAATTTTTTTCATAACAAACCCTCGTGATGATCCTGTTGTTTTGGGGGTTTTTGGGGGGAAAAAACAACAACAAGATGACCCCTTTCGAGGCCCCAATCACCATAACCTTCTAGGTCGGCCTCTTTCTCCTACATTTAACTGGCCTGCAGATCCCCCATAGTGAGCTACAGCTTTGACTGCTAACAAAATCAGCAGTTCAGTCCTCCCCGCACTCCATGGGGAAAGATGAGACTTCCTCCTCCTGTAAACATTGACAGCCTCAGAAATCCATAGGGGCTGTGCTGCTCTGTCCTGTGGGGTCGCTGTGAGTCAGACTAGACTTGACGGTAGTGGTGAGTGAGTGGTGAGTGAGTGGTGAGTGAGTGAGTGAGTGAGTGAGTGAGTGAGTGAGTAGTGGTGAGCGAATGGTGAGTGAGTGAGTGAGTGAGTGAGTGAGTGAGTAGTGGTGAGCGAATGGTGAGTGAGTGAGTAGTGAGTGAGTGAGTAGTGAGTGAGTGAGTAGTGAGTGAGTAGTGAGTGAGTGAGTAGTGAGTGAGTGAGTAGTGAGTGAGTGAGTAGTGAGTGAGTAGTGAGTGAGTGAGTAGTGAGTGAGTGATTAGTGAGTGAGTAGTGAGTGAGTGAGTAGTGAGTGAGTGAGTAGTGAGTGAGTGAGTAGTGAGTGAGTAGTGAGTGAGTAGTGAGTGCGTGAGTAGTGAGTGAGTGAGTAGTGAGTGAGTAGTGAGTGAGTGAGTAGTGAGTGAGTAGTGAGTGAGTGAGTAGTGAGTGAGTGAGTAAGTAGTGAGT